AATTTTTTTGGAATGCGTGGCTGGGGCCATGCACCTTCATCAGAAAAATTTTTTTGTAGCGCCTCCCCTTCCCCCCCCCCCCCCCCCGAGCCGAAATCCTGTGTACGCCGTTGGTATGTATGTATGTATGTATATATGTATGTATGTATGTATGTATGTATGTATGTATGTATTTACTAGATCGTTTCAAAAGTAATTTCGTTTCTCAAACGGGCGTCACATTTGATGGAACAAAGATTTCTAAGGGATCTTGGAGGCATTCGATGCAGAATTTCAATCTCTTTCTAGTGGTTATGAAATTGTTGCAGTAAACTCAATAAGTTTTCAAAAAATAACCAAAATCGGCAATCTATGCTTTTCGAGATAGTCAAGTTTCGCAATTTTTCAAAACTTTCATATCAATCCCCAGAAGAAGATCAAGTGACGGTTCGATAGAGCAAACCTCATAGAATACAGTGCAACTTTTTTCTCTTTTCCCTAGCTTGTCATACATTTTTAACAGAATTTTAACTGATGCTACCGATTTCCACACTTGGACAGCTCGTAGAACATCAAATGGTGAGCAGCTCGGGTGTCATTCGATGCAGCTTTTTCTCCTCTTTCTAATGGGTGTTGTTTCCGATTCGTTTGATTTCCGGGTACAAAATCACTAGCTCATTTTCTTAGCGAGCCCCAAGCTGTACCCGAAAAGCTCGAAATTTGATATTTCGAACCCGTAAACCCTCACTTGCTTTGCAAAATTAACGCTAACTCATAATAACATCTTGGTAGTATCAAATTCCGAAAAATTGTGATGTTTGATGCGATTGTGGCTGAGGTGGGCCTGCCAAAATCCGATGGTTCTATTTTAAAAAATTTTGAAAAATTACGGCGAGCTACGAGAAAGGGAAAAAAGTAGTACTGTATTCTAAAAGGTTTACTATATCGAATCGTTGCTTGAACTCTTTCTGAAAATTGATATGAAAATTTTATAAAAAATCGCAAAACTTGACCATCTCAAAAGGCATGGGTCGCAGATTTTGGTTATTTTCTGAAAGCTCGTTGACTGTTTTGCAACAATTTCATAACCATCAGAAAGAGAATGAAATGCTGCATCGAATGCTTCCAAGACCTCTCAGAAAAATTTGTTCCATCAAATGTGGCGCCCATTTGAAGAAAGCGAAATACTTTTGAAAGGACCTAATATATGCAAAGGACTTGTTTTTACTTGTAAATATTAGGTCATTCCGAAAGTAATTTCGCTTTTTTCAAACGGGCGCAACATCTGATCGAACAAAGTTTTCTAAGAGGTCTTGGAAGCATTTGATGCAGAATTTCATTCTCTTTCTAATGGTTATGGAATTGTTGCAAAACAGTCAATGACCTGTCAGAAAATAACCAAAATTTGCAACCCATGCTTTTCAAGATGGTCAAGTTTTACGATTTTTTATAGCTTTCATATCGATCCTCAGAAGGAAATCAAGTAACGATTCGATAGAGTAAACCTTATAGAATATAGTGCTACTTTTTTTCATTTCTCATAGCTCGCCGTAATTTTTTAAAAGATTTTTTAACAGAACCATCGGATTTTGGCAGGCCCACCTCAACCACAATCGCATCAAACATCATAATTTTTCGGAATTTGAGACTACCAAAATGGCACTATGAGTGAGCACTAGTTTTACAAAGCAAGTGAGGGTTTACGGGTTCGAAATATCAAATTTCGAGTTTTTCGGGTGCAGCCTGGGGCTCGCTAAAAAATGAGTTATGATGATTTCTTCCCGGAAACTAAACGAATCGGAAACAAAAAAACACTTGTTAGAATGAGGAGAAAATGCTGCATCGAATAGTGCCCGAGCTGCTCTTCCTTTGATGTTCTACGAGGATTCAGCTGCCCAAGTATGGAAATCGGTAGCATCGGTTAAAATTCTGTTAAAAATGTATGACAAGCTATGGAAAGGAGAAAAAAGCAGTACTGTATTCTATAATGTTTACTCTATCAAACCTTTACTTGAACTCCTTCTGAGGATTGGTATGAAAGTTTTAAAAAATCGTTAAACTTGATTATCTCAAAAAGCATGGGTCGCAAATTCTGATTATTTTCTGAAAGCTCATTGACTGTTTTGCAACAATTTCATAATCAATGGAAAGAGAATGAAATTCTGCATCGAATGCCCCCAAGATCTCTCAGAAACCTTTGTTCGATCAAATGTAGCGCCCGTTTGAAAAAAGCGAAATTACTTTCGGAATGACCTAATAATTAAGATAGATTCTAAAAAATTTTAAAAATTCAAATTAGCCCTAGATTTTTTTCTGCCTTGGCCCCAAAAGCTGCCGCCACGCCCCGTTTTCTGAAATTTTGGGGTCAGGGCCCCGTAAAAATTTTGTTTTTGTTCCCCCCCCCCCCTCCCCGAGCGGAAATCCTGGATACGCCACCGGTATATATTTACATGTATGTATGTATGTACAGGATAGAAAATTTCGTTTCTGAACCGATCCGCATGTAATTTGCACATATGCAATTCGGGGCGAGTGTCATAGGCTACTTTTCGTTTTCGATCGATATCGATTTCAAAGATTTTTCGCAAATTTTGAGCTATAGGGCTGGGAGTTGGTATAGAGGTGTAGGTGAGCATGCTGTTACAAAGAACATATTTTAGAACTAAGATATTTTCATCGATTTTTGCTGAGCTACGGGGCTGGACAGCCACGCTGGTCACGAAAGAATACTTAGGACAAGCTTGAAAGAAATTCAAGCATGAGACATCTTTTTGATGTAACAAGACTGTACATTCGAGCAAGTTGCTTTAGGCATTTCAGCAGCTGACAAAATGGATTACGACCAGGGTCAAGCGTGGGGTGCGGCACGCCACCTGGGGGGTCGTATTGAGGAGTCAAAAGGGGAGCGGGTCGTAGTTGGGTAACCTGATAATAGTGATAATATGATATTTGTATCGTGTTCTTAATTAGCATTTTTTGAAAGGATATTGCTTCTTTCCTTGCACCAAATTTGGTCATAACCAGGGTCAAGCGTGGGGTGCGGCACGCCACCTGGGGGGTCGTATTGAGGAGTCAAAAGGGGAGCGGGTCGTAGTTGGGTAATCTGATAATAGTGATAACATGATATTTGTATCGTATCCATAATTAGCATGTCAATTAACCCCTGTAGACAAAGTGTGAGCGAATTCTGAAGATTCAAGATACTAGGCTACCTAAATGAAATGGTCAAATTCCAACATGGTTAACTTTGTTTCAAAGGTGAATTAGCTATCCGTTTTTGCACTCAAGACAAAGACTACTCCTTCTTTGTTCACCTCAGGAATCCCGCTTCAGAAGACCTGCAAACTGTGGAATTAGAACCCAACCAAAATCTCGTTTTTCCCATTTTTCGCTTTTGATCGCTGTGCTTTCACCAAATATTACTCAGAGCTAAGAAGACGAATCAGGCTCCAAACAGTCCTATGGAATCTACAAGGTTTAGGCTATCGATTCATATAAATACTGTCCGCTAAAAATGTTTTTTGATATAGTTAATGGGGTGCGGCACACCCCGGTGTGCCGCACCCCCTTAACTTGCCTTCAAAATCCAGAAAGCGCTCCATTGCTGGTATGAGTATTGAGCACATAGCTTCTTCTTGCTACACTGGAAATTTGGAGCCGAACGCCCCACCCATAAGAAAATTATGGCCCTTTATATGCCCATTCAGATCAGAATCAGCCGTCAAATTACGTGTGATTGTAAAGTGCAGTCACAGAAAATCGGGCGTACAGCTCTCAGAAATCTGAAAACTCTCTAGAAAAAGCTGGTGTCCTCCAGAATGTCACACTTTGAGGTCCAGAGGTTAAGAGGAGGAGGAAGGGGTCGTTTGAGGGCTTTCATGGAGGGGGAGGATTGTTTTCGAAAGACTTGTGCCTGACCTCTTTCTCAACTCTGGTAATGCTATCTTAGGTATATAGTTCGGGGGGGGGGGGGTCTTATTAAGACAGCAATCAGGGGGGGGGGGGGTCGTAACCAGCGATCGTGTCCCACACCCCTTGCTTGACCCTGATTACGACGAACAAAATTTCACACTTCAAGGGTTGAGGGTTCACACATGTACTTGATGTGCGTACTTGATCTCAGACAATCAAAGGTTTCAGCCGGCCCCGCCAAAAGCGTCGTTGCCTTTCGCCGTCACTTTTCGCTTCCCGCTGAAAACTTTGCTAGAACTGGCAGCGAGCGGGCTGCCATAAAGTCTTCAGCGCGAAGCGAAAGTGGCTGCCATGCCTTATCGCCGCCACATTCGCTTCGCGCTGAAAACTTTATGGCAGCCCGCTCGCTGTCAGTTCTAGCAATGTTTTTCAGCGGGAAGCAAAAAGTGGCGGCGATAAGGCAACGATGCTTTTGGTGGGGCCGGCTGAGATTCTTTGATTGTCTGAGATGTTACGCACTGAAACGAGCGGGAAACTACCAATCGCATTTGTTCAAACTGGACAATGACGCGTAAGGCCTAAGGCACACCTCGCGCGATTCTATCGAATCGCCACTTTCACGCAATTTGGCGAATTGCCAGATTTCTATAAATTTATCATGCGCACTTCTCGGACGCATGTTTGAGTAGCTTGTGTAAGTCGTTGCAAACAGAGCAAGTTCTGACCAAAGGCAGCACATTAACGGCGAATTACGAAAAGTCGCTGTTGTGCCAATCGCGCAGCGACCGGAATCGCGCAAGGTATGCCTGGCCTAAAACCTAGATTCATGGACGCTGCTGCGCTCAGCGGCGATGACGAAAGTTGTTGCAGCGACGCTCTGACTTTCGCACACCTGTGCGTTTCGAATTCGATGCCGACATTTCAGGCGCAGCTGTTTGTTCACGCGCGAATCTCACCGCAAGCTCTCGGCATCGCTAGGGCATTTGTTTACCGGCAAAGCTACCCGACTGTATATCACAACAACTTCTGCTTGGGAGCATTTCAAAGGCAGCGTCCTGGCGAAATTCAATCAATTTCTTGTTTACAGTCTGTGTCAATCATGTACTCTCTTACCAATCACCGCAATCGCCATGCCAAGGCTTCGCACCACTTTCGCGCGCGTATTGCGTATCCAAAGTGGCCTCATCGATTGACACGTCAACCGCAAGCGCAGCTAAAAAGGCGTAGCTTTTAAAAAGGGAGTACATCAGTGAACATCGAATATTCAAGGAATCGGCATTTATAGCACATACAAATTGTCCAAAAAGCCTACCCACTGTATTCGATCGCTAGTTATCTCTCTTCACACAATGGCCCGTAGTAAAGCTGCCTCAGTCGATCCTAACTGGATAATTTGATTGAGTCTTTGACAGTTAGCTCTCCCTCAATCGAACCTTTGATTGATAATGCCAACTATCCACGATCTTGAGATTAAGAACGTCACGCCCATGCAAGTGTGCGAGTCAAAACACGTTCCCAAACATTTGTATATATGTGATTGGTACTATTAGTAGCGACAGAGATGTGGCCGCACTTGTTAGATCTTGTTGATTATCATCAGCCTGCATTGTGACTTCTCACTTAACATTCCTCCAATATGTTAAACTGACGTGTATTGTAGGTTACTCAGGAGTAACTTACGAAAAGTTTCTCTGCGTTTCATCATTCACACGCTTCAAATCACTTCACTTGTTACTGAATGTGAACTGAATAAAGCAAGGTAGACGACCTCTTGAGGCAGACGGACGGTCAGTTGACATTTCATTTTATTTTTGCATTCTCACAGCACATGAAGGTGTTGGTAGTCATTCTACCTTGCCGACAAATGAGGGCCTCATTTAAGATCATTCGAACTGAATAAGCTCTACCATGGGCCGATGTCTTTTGCCAGCCTTTGGGTGCCATTCTGTAGGGTTGGCTCCAATTTACATACAGAAAAATGGATATAACTCTTTATTATTGTAAGCCTAGTGTAGGAACTTCGGGCACATGAAGCCGTTGCGGAATATGCCGTATAGAAGAACTTCTCCAAAAAGTATAACAATCTGTCTAACAGAGCTCTTACGTTGCTATTACTATACAACATTTCACCGTTCATCAAACTTTTTAGATGTGTAATCACGTTTTCGAGAAAACGTTGAAAAAATTTGTTACGGTGTTCAGGTTCTCTGCGATCGCAAAGGTCGGTGAGTTTGCGGCTAATGCAGCAGGATGCTACCAGGCCTCAGACCAGTTAAACAATCCCGTACTTTCAAAATCGTTTTAGATGATTGGAAGCTAATATCTGACAGAAAGGCGTTTGAAAGGAGGAAGATAACTGAGGAAGCTCAATACGCGTGCAATGACCGCAAATTCACTGACTCTCGCGATTATGCGGCCCTACAATTGTCATAGCGTGAAAAAAAAACATTATTTTTGAGGTGCAAATCTTATTTTTGAAGTATGTGACTCTTAATGCAAAATTTTTGGCTTTTTGGTTTTTTTTTCTCAGGCAATATATGAAGCTCAACGTCTTAAAGGCAGTGGATCAGCAGAATGAACCCTTTTCAAATTTTGGTGGATTTAGGTAGTAGACCTCCCAAGTACACGGTAGCCCAAACTCCCAGCTGCCAAATGCGCTAAGTCCTGAAAAATGCGCTTTAAAACTCTACCAGCCCCGCCCATTTCCAGTGCTCGGCACAGGTGGCTTACAAAGCAAGCTAGATATAGTTTTGGAATAAAAAGCAAAGGGGATATTGTTTAAGCGGAAGCCCCAGCCCCTCTCACACACAAAATCGCTTTCTCCTTTTATGTCACCTTTCATCTTCTATAGAGGACGCAGACTGTCATTCCTGCCTTATCGATCCCAATTCCGCAAAAACCAAAAATCTTCTATTTCAACAAGTACGCCGGGTAAGCGCGCGAATTAAAACTTGCCCCGAAATAAACGAAAGACTCTGTTTACAGCGAAGAGAAGATGAAATGAAACCAAAATTGGTGTGTAGATGGGCAGTAGGGAGTTAGGACTATGTGCGAAAAATTATGTGAAGTGAAAGCGTGGCAACTTTTTTCGGATTTGGGTGGCTTCACAGCCATTTGGACAGCCACCTGAGTTAATTGTAAAAAGAAAAAGTCATAAATTTCCCTTCCTTTAATTTTTTCACATGTTTGACATAAAAACATTCTACATCAAAAACCCTACAACTGAGTTCTTGGATGGATTGTTCGACTCTCTATGAATCTCGGCATGGCGTAGATATTGTAGTTGTTTATATAAGCCGCACTCGAGATTGGTAACAATATTTATTGGGTGGCTGACGTTTCGGCAGATCGCCTTCTTCAGAGCCTGGAATGGACAAAACGATCTGCAAACTATCCGATCAAACGTCTCTGCCAGCTCCACAAGCAAAGTTCTAAGACTCTGCCTGTTCACTGACTGGACTGCCAAACCAAACGCTTACCTTTTTGGAAATGCCGATAGCATACGAGTGCCTGAGCGAGCGCTAATAAATGACCATGTATGCCACGCTATTTATATGCCTACAGTGAGTCAAAGAGGTGACCCAGGTAAGGTGCGAGTTCACGAGTGATAGAGAGGCACTCCTCCTTGCGATTCATTTGTGGACTTTTTGCGTGAATCCAAAAGGCTTCCAAACATTTGCGGGCTGATGTTTGGGATTCATGCGCTAAGATCTTCACTGAGACTTCAAAGTTTTCTCCAGCGTGCTTCACCAGCCTGTGAGTGCCTAGAGGTGTGGTCGTGCGTGATCTATCCCTGCCGTCTAAATGCTCTTTAATGCGGACCAGAGGTGCGATAGGGGGAGCCAAGTCTCCCCCTACCTTCACTTTTGAGCTGGTACGGGGTGACCACCTTCACTTTTGGAATAAAAAATTTTTCGCTGGACGACAAAGAAGGAAAATAAGCAAAACAAACGCAAAAAAGATTATTGAAAGCATATATTTATGTATACGGCGGCATATATATTTAAAATAAAGGTTTTTAGTAAATGGTGTATTTGGAAGTAAAGCTTAGCAAAACTGTACGGATTTTATTAAGCAAATTATGTTGTAACGTATAGCGAAGGAAGTAGGTCGATCCAGGCAGTAACGGCCGAGAACCAGAATTTTGAATATTTGAAAAGTGAAAAATCATGCGAAATTTCCACTGTTATAAATCTGTTGTTTGAAGATGTCAGCAGTTGCGACTTCATAGGTTTTGAAGAGTAAATGTTGCTCTATCAGCTAGTAAAAGAATCGGGTCGATTTAAGAGATAGTCATTGAAAACCAGAGTCCTAAAACTTTACGCCATTTTTGCGTGTTTTTTGACTTTTGAGAGTTAAACTCTTATAAATCTTGAATGTGAAAGTGTGTGATGTTGCGACTTCATAGGTTTTATAGAGTAAGGTTTGCCTTATCAGAATATGTCTTGTCCGTTCCGATCCATTGAAACACCTCCGAGATCCAGGCTCTTGAAAAAGCAGGTAAAAAACAGCTTTTTGAAATTCAACATCTCGTAACTTCTTCAGAACTGCATGAATCATGTTGCGACTTCATAGGTTAGATTCTTCTCATCAAGAGCTTTCAGATGATATATAATATGTGGGGGTTTAGAGCCTCCTGCGAATTATGACCGGGGGGGGAGACTTTTCAGGCCAAAGTCTCCCCCTCGCCCATTTTAATGTATTGGCTGGATGGGCGAGGGGGAGACTTTGGCCTAAAAAGTCTCCCCCCCCGGGCATATGCCGTAAGAGGCGCGAAACCCCCACATATTATATATCATCTGAAAGCTCTTGATGAGAAGAATCTAACCTATGAAGTCGCAACATGATTCATGCAGTTCTGAAGAAGTTACGAGCTGTTGAAGTTCAAAAAGCTGTTTTTTACCTGCTTTTTCAAGAGCCTGGATCTCGGAGGTGTTTCAATGGATCGGAACGGACAAGACACATTCTGATAAGGCAAACCTTACTCTATAAAACCTATGAAGTCGCAACATCACACACTTTCACATTCAAGATTTATAAGAGTTTAACTCTCAAAAGTCAAAAAACACGCAAAAATGGCGTAAAGTTTTAGGACTCTGGTTTTCAACGACTATCTCTTAAATCGACCAGATTCCTTCACTAGCTGATAGAGCAGCATTTACTCTTTAAAACCTATGAAGTCGCAACTGCTGACATCTTCAAACAACAGATTTATAACAGTGGAAATTTTGCATGATTTTTCACTATTTATTTATTCGAAATTCTGATTCTCGGCCGTTACTGCCTGGATCGATCTACTTTCTTCGCTGTACGTTATAACAAAATTTGCTTAATAAAATCCGTACAGTCCAACAAACTTCTACTTCCAAATACACCATTTACTAAACACGTCTATTTTAAATTTTTATAAATAAAATTTATAGATATTTTTAATATTCATCGTATCTGTGGCCCTAAAGAGAGCCGTTGGGTCGACGTTAGACCTAGAAAGATAGCTCCGTTCGTCCGTTCTATCCTCCCCCCGCACCTCCCCCCCCCCCGTCGACGTTTTTGGGAGGTGAGTGTCCGACACTACCACCTTCACTTTTGGCCGGCCAGTGGTAGCTGAAACCACCTTCACTTTTGGGGGACCCGGCTCCCCCTATCGCACCTCTGATGCGGACGCATAGAGGGCGCGCCGTTTCACCGATGTACATGTCGCCGCAGCCCGCGCAGGTGATAAGGTAGATGACCCCTGACGTCATGCAATCCCCGCCCCTGCCCGCAGGGCAGATAATGCAATTAGGCGTTGTGCAGGTGCGATCGTAGATGCGATTGCGGACCAAAATACCTTTTAGGTTATTTGGGGGTATCTCCACCATCGCAACAGAGTTTGCTAACCCGCATCTCCTCAGACACTGCCTTAAGGCAATGCTAACTTCATCAGAGATATAGGGAACGCTGAAGGGGATCTTATCAGTTATATTAGGTCTATCTACTTGAGCAACATGTGTTCCACGCCGCCTTGCCCTTCCAGCATGATATTCATAGCCGTTAGAAGCCGCTATTCTACGAGCCAGCGCAAGAGATTCTGCCCTTTCCTGCTGTCCGCTGCAAACGCGAGAGGCTGTACGAAACATACTTTTTATTACAGCTCTCTTCATATGTGAGGGATGATCTGAGCGGAAGTGTACCAAGATGTTTTTGTTACTGGGTTTCCGGTACCATTTTGTT